GATAAAACAAAGGTCCAATTGGAACCATGTTCGGGGACATGCAGTTGCGATCGGGTGCGGTGCTTGCAGTTGCATGGATTGTCGAGCTTGCAGCTGGCCCACCCTCTCCGACAGAACAAAAAGTCCAGTTGTAGTCGGGTTACAAGACATATAGTTGCAGTTGGGTGCGACACTTGCAGTTGCATTCCTAGTGTCGGACATGCAATTAGCCCGCCGCCTCTCCCGCCGCCCCCTCTGACAAAGCAAAGGTCCAACTGGAGCCATGTTTGGGGACATGTAGTTGCGGTCAGGTGCGGCGCTTGCAGTTGCAGGGATGTTGTCGAGCTTGCAACTGGCCCACTCCTCCGACAGAACAAAAAAGTCTAGTTGCAGTTGGGTTACAAGACATGCAGTTGTGGTCGGGTGCGACACTTGCAGTTGTGGGTCTGTTGTCGGGCTTGCAACTGACCAACCCCCTCTGACAGAACAAAAAGTCCAGTTGCGGCCGGGTTACAAGACATGTAGTTGCGATCGGGTGCGACATTTGCAGTTGCATTCCTAGTGACAGACATGCAACTGGCCCGCCCCTCTCCCGCCGCTCCCTCTAACAAAACAAAGGTCCAATTGCAACCATGTTAGAGGACATGCAGTTGCGGTCGGGTCCGACGCTTGCAATTGCTGGGATGTTGTCGGGCTTGCAACTGGCCCGCCCCCTCTACCAGCGCCCCTTACGACAGAACAGAAACTTCCAGTTGCGTCCGAGCTAGAAGACATGGAGTTGTGGTCGGGAGCGACACTTGCAGTTACATTCCTAGTGTCGAACATGCAACTTGGCCTACTGGTCTCTACTCGAACCACAAACAAAGTTTAAAAACTCACACCAGAAACAAAGTCTAGTTGGCCGGTGACAAATATTTTTGAGAAGGAAAAAAGATAAGTTACACGCCAATGACATACATACAATTGTGTGTGGCCGATGTGCATGAAAACTGTGTGTGGTCGATGGGCGTGTTGGCGATAATATTTTTGGAAAGAAAGTTGCATACAAAAACTGACAATAAAACATGTAATTGCATGTGATTCGATGTACATGCAATTGTGTGCGATCGATGTATGTGTAAACAAATGACAATATTTTTTTAAATAATAGTAGCAATACAAAATAAAAAAATAAAAAGAAAATAGGAACAAACCAAAGCGAACAACCCTATTAATCGCTCCCGTCTCCAGGGAACACGAGCACTAACAAAAAAATTCAGCCTAGAAGAAAGCCCAAAAAACAGAAAAAGGAAAAGCCACACCACCCCTCCCGACAAAACACCACAAAATTTCAGTCGAAATACGACACTTGCAGTTATATGACTAGTGGCAAACAAACAATTTTCCACTTCACCGACAAAAAACTCCACATAGTTGCAGTCGTATTGAAGGCATGCCATTACGTCGGTGTGTGACACTTGCAGTTATGTACCTAGTGATAAACATGCAACTATCCCCTCCCTCGACAAAGAACAATTGATTTACAATCGGTGAAGTTAGGGAGATTGTCCAACCAGATGACAATGTTTTCAATTTTCAAAATAAAAACGTGTTGCTCAGTTAAGAAAATAAAAAAGAATAAGGTAACTAGAATCATGCAAAAAAAGGCTTGAAAACAACAATAAAAAGGAAAAGAAAAAAAGAAAAGCAAGAGAAAAGGAGAAAATACAAAATGTAAAAAACAAATTCAAACATGACAAGGAACATAGACGAAATAATCATTTAAAATACTTACAAGTAAATAAAAGATTAGAAAAGATTCTCAACCACTTCCCCACCCCCTCTTTGGACGGTTTGTTTCCCCGTTGAAAAATTAAGCCCAAAACTAGACAA